CTGTTCAGGTTTTCACTAACTATTGGGATGCTGACGACATAAACACAGTTTTTTACATTTCTTCTGCACGGAGTCTACCACCAGTCGCTTCCTTTAGTCTCACCCATAAAATCCCTTTTACCACCATTCCCATATTACAAGCGTGTTTGCTTCTCATTTTATGTGTTTGGCGCAGTAAGTTAGATACCGTTGCCTACAGTTATGTCTCGAACCATTCCGTTGGTGATGTCCACTTTGCCTGCGCTGGTATTTCGTCCGTCATTATAGGATGAAGTGGGACCAACAAAGACAAGGTTGATGACGGCTAATAAACCAGAAAATACCATTCTGGTCTCCCTTGTCTTTGTCGGCCCTCAAGCATAGCTTGTCAAATACCTCCAGTTTTCGCTTTTACCACGTGCACAGGCTTGCGGAAACCCGGCGGGTAGCGTCGGTTTGAGAGGAAATGTGTGTTTCTTCTAGTTGACAGCCATCATTTTCGAGAGGTGCCCTCTCCTGTTCAGGGATGTCGCTTCGAAACACTTTAGTCTTACCAGTTTTTATGGATAAACCGACGTGTTTAGCGACTTACTTTACCCCTGGCACTATAGACTGCAGAGTACCAAGGTAATGTCAGCAGCGTAGTCCATATCGGACAGCTGGTGAATGGCGTATTTTATCCCAATTGGGCTACAGGATTTAGTCCCGTCGAACCTCACACTGAATATCCAACGATTGGGATGGACCGTTACAGACCAGAACGCGCGCAGTGATAGTGACTTTAGGCTTTGATCATGTCACTATTTTTTGCCTGTCCATCATTATCCACCGCAGGGACTCACGATGGACGCATTCGAACGCAAAGGCAAAGTATTCCAAACTGACGCATGTCGGTCGTCGGTAGCTGTGGCTGAATTCGTACATAAGCGCTCAGCACAGAAGTCGGTCTGAATAGGCCTCCCCCTGGAATCATGCACCAGAGGGACATAACAACGAATATCTTCATAGCAACGTCGATTAGGTGCATTTCGCGTTATTTTTCGCA